AAACAGCAACATTTTTTTCGGCTTAAATCTTATTATTGTTTAAACGAAAAAAAACGACATTTGAAATCAAAACCTTGTATTATGGAGAGGCTTAATAATTTAAAACGCATTTCTTTCGAAGCAATGGGTGCTTTTAACGTGGCCTAGATCTGACAAGTCTCTGGCTCGAGGCTCATAATAGAGGTTTAAGACTTACTATTGCGAGGGTTTGCGACCTGCGTCTACATGCCAATGAACTTTAAAAATCTTCTAAAGTTGAAGTAATATTATTGAAAACAGGAAGCTTTGAAACAAAATATTGAGGTATTTAGACAAAATCTGTCTCATTTTTGTATAGAATATGATAGCTATGATACACATAACAGATTTATATCTTAAACAAAGTGTGCTGTAAAAATTGTGAGGTACTTATATACATACATACAAGCTAATGATAAGTATATACATATAATAACTACTGCATATTTCAATCATTATGCAAGAGATATTAAAATCAATACAAAAATAGGTATTATCCAATCCAATAAGCAACACGGCTCTTTAATTAAGACACATAACCGCAGGCTGTGTTGCAAGCCAAGTTTTCTTGGCAAAAGGTAAATGTAAATACGGAAAAAAGTAATGGTAAATGCATTTTACCATGAAAGTGAGTCTATTACTTTTAAATTCATAAAACGAGTGACATTTAGATAGGAACACAAATTCCTTTTCCCTTGGGATTCGTTTTTCACAGCGAACATTTCAAGATTTTCCCCTACTCCCCTTTCTCATGATTACTATCACGTGACAAATGAAAAATTGTCTTCCGATAGGTTATTTGTTCGTTTATAAAGGAAAAATTTCTTCTTTCCTTATAATATATTATATACACTGTTTTAAAAATATATAAAAATTATAGAATAATTTACATAGGTACGTTACTATAATCAAAATCAAACAATCTTCTTTAATGCTTTTTGTATTACGACTCTAAGTATGGATAAGTCACCTTTTAATTGTTTTTAAATAATCAAGTGTACGAAATTAATCTCAATGTTGTAAGGAAAATTACTGATGAAGCCTTCAAATAAGTCGAAGGCTGTTATTTATAGATTTTATTATTTGATTACAATACTTAGAATTGTATTTATAATTAATTTATTTCTGGTTTTCTGTATTGGATTTCTCTCCAAATCATTTAGCAGTTCTTGTTAATTTTTACAGTAGGTAGATTATGTTATCAAACTGAACAATTATAGGATTAAACATCAATATAGTAACCTCAAACTAGGATAATTTGATGCTTCAGACAACTGTTGCTCTGCTACCAGTAGAATTATAAACTATTACATGATTGTATTATAAAATTATAAAGAAAACTTTCTAACGTAACTAAGGCAATATATTTAAAATTCTATAATGAAATCACGAAACAAATTATGTCTTCAAAGTTCACTAAATCGAGATATAAATTGATAATAATAGGAAAACTACGGCAAAATTATTCTATAATAGATAGAAAACAAAATAGTCATGATTTTATCACGTCTATTATGGCCCTTAAAAACTTAATTGACCAAGTAAACTCAAGAACCAAAACATTCTATTTATTTCTACGTTACCTTAAATGAGAGGGTATATTTTGTCAACCAAAAAAGGTTAATTTTCATTCAAAAATAGTACTTATAGTTACCCAAATAAAGATCATACAATTTTGATTAATACGTCGTACGCGGCTGTAAACATCTATTTAAGAATGTGACAAAACAAATTTATGTATTTCACGTTATGAACATTTATTATGTAACGGCATAGCTCTTAGGAAAATGATCAGGCGCTTTTAAATCGCCCAATTTTTCCTTGGACGTGTTATAAACGTCAGGTGGTTTTTTACGACGTCTTTATAATATTACTTCACTTGGAAGAATCGTAAAGTATTACTCTTTATACATACATGCAACACCCAGACTAATTGCCGTAAAAGTTAAGGAAAAAGACTTAAAAACATGAATAGTCCAATAGTATATTATTAATAAGAAAACTATTTTTCATGTTATAATTGGAAACATCTTGCTAATAAAAGAATGAGTCCTAGCAATAATAAATTGTGATTGATTATTTTATAATCTACAATGAAAACTTCAAGACATAATTCAGATTCATAATATATATGTATGTAGAATAAATAATTCATTAATTTGAAGATAATAGTTCTGTCTCATTTATTTTTGGTACCACCAACACTCAACAACTCTATTAAACTTGAAACTATAAAATTGAGAATTGCTCAGTTAAATAGAGGTTTATATGTACCAAGAGAATATAAGCTAGACATACATGACAACATAAATAATAATAACATTTTAATATCAGAACAAAATAATTAACAAGTCTAAGTGAAATTAAGTTTCGAAACAAACTTTTTACATCTTCATTAGTCGTCTAGATGGCGTTGGAAGTATATTTGCTAATGCCCCAAGCAGTTTGCTGAGGCGTTCGTCTTACAGAGATTTTTAGTATTTTTCTCACATTTATAAAATGTCTCATAAAATGTAGTGTACGTATTCGTATTTATAGAGTATGTAGTGGTCATTAACTAATTTATCATCGCTGTATATGATTTAGGTAAATCAAAACTATCACTAGTTCAAGATAAACAAAAAAACTATAAGCATTTATCACGCAATTTTTTATTTTTATTAAATTAATAAATAACTTTATTACTCTTATTGCGTGATGTGTCTTATAGTGAGGACAAATTAAAAATAATTTTGAAAATAAATAGAAAGACTATAAAAGATTTCGGTTGCTATTTGTTAAATTAAAACATTCGTCAACAATGTGACGTTTATTTTAGGGACGGTTTAATTAATTTATTGATTAAAGGTCACATGTACGAAAAATTAAAGTATTTTATAAAGTATGACTTTTAAATTATTTAAATCAAATTTTGTTTTATTAAACTAATAATTATAAAGTCTTACTATAAGCATTATTATAAAATTCATTGGTTTTGAACCAACTGTTTTCTTGCAAAAAGGCATGAATGCATGTAAATGGACATATCTCTTAAAACGCTATCCGCTCCGCTCGTATTTCGCTGCTACCCTAAGCTTAATAAGTCCTCCTAATGCGGTATGAGGGCGCGTATTAAGATTTCCCTCGGCACACCTTACTTTAGTTTTGAGTAGCACATGCATATTTAAAGGATTTATAACTTAAGAGCCACAGGAAGTATAAAAAAAATAGCTTTGGGAATAATAAATGAGGCTATGCTAATAAGTCGTATGTCTCTTATGAATTATTATCCATTTTTACTTAAGAGATTTGTATGAAGTGTGTACATTACAATATGCTTTTTTCTATACAAGCATACGTTGTATTTTTACGAACGTTTTCAACTTCATCAAATCTGATTTTTACATTCAGTGAACTTTATTTGAATTGTTATTGAAATGTCGAAAAAAAATTAAATGCACTGGAGTGTAATGTAAACGTGTTCACGTTAGCCATATGTCCATGTAGTTTTTATTTTAAATATACCTAACTCTTTTAGGTCGTGGTGGCCTAGTGGTTAAAGGCCCGCCTATCGTGCATGAGGACTCGGGTTCGAAATCTGGCAAGTATCAATATAATTTTTCCGAGTCATATGTACAATCTATGAGTATTTAGATACCACTGACAGACGATGAATGAAAACATCGTGATGAAACCTGGACTTATAATTTCAAATTATCAGTTTGAAATCACCAATTCGTCTTGAGCAAGCGTGGTGATTAATGCTTAAACCTTCTCCATGTGAAAAGAGGCCTTGTCTCAGCAGTGGGTTGTGATAGACTAATGATGATGATGATTACATTTCGCAAAAATAGTGTAAACATAAATTATAAGAAAACGAAATTATATAAATCCCATTCAAAGATACGATTTTTGTACATTTATCTATAAACTTTTATGAGCATAATTAGTGCAATATTTACAAACAATGCATTTAGTTCACTACGAAAATTGACAAAAATTATTTCAAGATTCGGATGATTAATCATCCCGATTTTAACTGCATTTTTAATCTTAACGTAATATCAATGTTTTTATTATCTTCTTGTTAGTTTAAACACGTATTAATCACTCTTGAGATTCAGTAAGATCGCTTTACATATAGTACATACTAATAACGAATATTTATATTCAACTATTATTTAACTATTGAGCCATAACAATATAAAAATTTGACAAAAGAATTGGAATTCTTAATATAATTTCAATTATAAATTAAACCAGGTTGGAATAACAAAACAAAACATTGTTTCTTTTACTTTGGTCCACATTTCTTTGATTTGACGACGTCTTTCATTTAAATACAAAATATATTAAAAGAGCAATCAACGTCTAATAAGCGTTATATTCTTTTCAAACTGTTAAATGGATTTAAGCAAATTCCTTAAGAATATTAGCTAAATTGTTAATCAAGATAAATTCTGATTTCCGCAACTCGCGTCAACAATTTTCTGAGAGAAAACTTTTTATATAAATTATAATGAAATGAAATTTCAAATTCGTTTATGGTGTGAAGTGGATCGATGGTAAATAAATAATGAGAATACGTTCTCACATAGTAAATAATATAATTATTTGGGACAAATAAAGGGTTAAAAACATCAGTAGATAAATATGTAAATATCCTGGACTTGACTACATACTTCGACCACTTTCCATTTCGTTAGAACCCTTTGCTGAATAAAATATTAGAAATAACGTTAAGTTGCTGTGAAGCTCTTCTGATTAATTCAAACCTTCTAACCCTTGCCAAATGTATCGTATATCAATGCTTTGATAAATACATTATGACTTGAATAACATACTGATATGTAAGTGAAACTATTCAATGTTAAATGAAGAGAGACGAAACCTCTTAGCATTCAATGGATTCACCGTGCGGGTGCCGGGTCCATTGCGTTGCAGGGAGAGGAGCTTCAACAGTGCCTGGGACTTGCGACCCAGGTGTAGGTTTAAGGGGCCCCTTAACTAACGCGCGTTATACGCTCACCTCCACTGTCCAAGTTCCTCTCCCTACCTAACCAAATTTGAAAAGAACCTACTAGGGCTGCCTTCGACGTACGTTCTAAGAATGAATTAATGTTAGTTCTGGACAGGCCCAAGTCTTTTAGTAGGTTATAGAGAGATTTAGCTGTTATACCTCTCGCTCCCACCTCTACCGCGTACAAATCAACGACGAACCTATTTCGAGTTAGTTCGTTAGTGAGCTCGTAATACTTATTGACCTTGATGGCATGGTCTTTGGGGATGTTGGTTTCCCAAGGCACCGTAAGCTCTATCATCACAACGCGCTTTAAAATACGCGAATATAGAAATATGTCTGGTCTGGAGGCCGACGCACAAATATCCTCGGGGATTTTGTATTGTTTCTCATACGTATCCATCATGATAGTCCAATCCGAAGCCGCTTTAAGGATAGAGTAAGGCTTGACGTTTGATTTTATAGCCCTGGTGCCCTCTCTCACAAAACCTATTGATCGCTCGTTTGTGGTTATTTCCCTTTGCGCTCTGGCTACCGAAAGACTAACCGCTTCACGTATGATCTCTAAAACCCTATCGTGACGACGCGAGTATTGACCGCTGTCCAGGAGAACCTTACATCCCACCAGCAAATGCTTGGCAGTTCCAACCGCCTTTCCGCAGATATAGCAAGTTTTTTCGGTACCTTTACCCCATCTTACTAAATTACTCTGATCTGGGAGAGTCATCTGGAACGCATTGAGATAAAATTTTAGCAAGGCTGGCGACCAGTCATGAATTAGGGTGCGCCATTTTAGTGCTAGTGGAATGCAAAAATCTCCTATGTCTAACCACTCGTTCTGCATTTCTAAACTCATTGCATGGATCTTGTATTTATCGTTCTCGTCTTGCCGAATAAAAGACTTCAATATATCCGTATCTTGGACTTTCCTACTTGATCCTAACCCTACTCTGTTATTTTGCGCTCCGATCATAAATTGTTTATGGAATTGAAGTCGTGACTCTAGCTCTGGGGCATCATTGTCTTTTGGGAGTGATGTAACGACGTCATCATGGGATTTTCCCAGGATATGTCTCTTGGAAACTCTTAGGTGTTTGTAGAGCTCCGATGGTCTTTTTAGATTCATCCCAAAACTATTACGATCCCTGAATAAAGCCGATGAATCAGCCGTTAGCGCGAGCCCGAGCCACAACTTCAACATCTTTATGACGCCTGCATCTAATTTAGATAAAAGGGTTTTACTAAAATCATAGACGAGGAAAGGCCAATTCAAACGTGAAGTTAAGTAATTATCGTAGATCCATGCTTTTTTTACGTTACTGATCTGCTGGCTATCCACCTTGTTAAGATCATTTAAAAAGCTATCTACTATTCCTTCTAAAGATGGAGTACGACCTATATTATCAATCTTACGACCGAGAAACTTGAATGGTGCATCTTCCGTAACCGTAGAAACGCATTGACCGCCTATCGATAGTCCCGGATCGTATGAGGTGTATCTTGTATTCCGCCTACCAAGACACAAACAGTGACATTTACTTGGTTTTGTCCTCAATCCATCCGTCCACTCACAGAATTTATCCACTTCATCCAATAGTACTTGACAGTGTTTGGGGTGACGTGTCAGTATTGCGAGATCGTCAGCGAAGGCTAAAATGGATTCCGTGTATTTATTATTAAACTTAAACCGATAACCCCATTTTTTTTCTCGTTACAGATTAATTTGTCTACTAAGATGTTAATAACGATATTAAACGTAATTGGAGATAGACAACAACCTTGAAACAGTCCTACATTATAACTCAAACTTTTTGAAGGGCCTTCTTTAGTTATTATAGAAAACCTTAATTTTGAGTAATACGACGCGATCATATCTCTAACTAGGGGTGGAAAGTTGTACCATCTAAGCGCGAATAGCATCAACTCGTGTTGTATCGACCCGAACGCGTTCTCTAAGTCTATCCAACAAACTGTAATTTGCCGCTCGCTTTTTCTAGCATCTTTCAAACTCTCCGACAGCAAGGTGTTGTGTTCTAGGCATCCAGAAATCCCGGGTAGAAACCCTTTCTGGTGATTTGGCCTAAAATACTTGTTGCTGAGCATGAATCGCGTCATTCTCGTTTGTAGGACCGAGAAAAAGATTTTAGAAATTGTATTTGTTAAGGCTATCGGTCTAGTATCCTTCGGATCGGTAACTCGATCTTTTTTGGGAATGAGGACAAAAATTGCTTTCCCGAACCACTCCGGGATTTGCTTCCTTGACCAGATTTTGCCGTATATATTTATGAGGTGTTTACGAACCGATGGACATTTTTTAAAGACTATATATGGGATACCATCGGGGCCCGGTGCAGATTTAGATGATTTCCTCTTTATGTGACTACTTATTTCGTCTAACGTTGGTGGTATGCCGTGAAAATCGATATGAGGAATTTCCGGTTTTTGTTCGTTTGGATCCGTATAGAGCCTTACACTTTTAGGCACTTCGTATGTGCTCTTGAAATGGTCGTAAATTTGATCGTTGGTCAAGAGAAGCTGTCCGCGTTCTTTCTAAAAATGGTTTTCGAATACTCAAAAGGGTTTTTATCAAAATCTACTTCCTGTTTGGCCCGGTCAAAATTACCGCGATATCCTGCAGTTTGTGCCGATATTCCTTGAATTAATTTAAGGATTGACCTTAACGCCCTAGCTAGCTGATGACTAAGGTGGTTGTCGCCTAGAGCTTTGGCTATACGTAGATTTTTTATTAATTCCCGTTTTTTCTTCCTCATTTTTATCTTGAACGAATTTTCTTTATTTTTGCGAGCGTAATGATTACGTGGTGGATATTGCTCGTTGAAGTAGTCATAAACGGTATTTTGGAAAGTTTCTACCTGCGAGTTCAATTCCTGTTTCGAGCCCGGATGCTCTAACAGGACCGCTAAATTGTCGTCGTGAACTTTCCAAGTCGATTGTTTCATGTTAGGAATGCTAAGACGTGTCCGGATGTTAATGGACTCCTGGTGGTTTCCAGTTAATGGTTCACCATGGGATACGTGAGGGTCAACTCTATCCGAAGTGATAATTGAAGAACTTACCAACGATTGTCGCGCTTCAACACCATTATGTGTTTTTAGGTGTTTAATGTACCAGGCTCGTCTCTTGTAATTTTTCCCGCACGTAGGGCATTTCAAGTCCGTATTCGCGCCGTTTTCGCCGTTTAAATCGACCGGTGGACAGATCTTCCGCCCCCCCTCTCGGACTGTCCCAGGGGTATTTTTCTTTATAGGACTTTTAGCTTAATAAATCCCGGGCTGGGCTTGCTAGGCCGTTGCCCTCGGCTGTCTTTCCAGCAGTCATCCGTCTTTCCGGCAGTCATCCGTCTTTCCGGCAGTCATCTGTCTTTCCAGAGTCAGCCCGACTCTCCGGGCAGTCGTTTTATATGAGACGAAACCTCTTAGCATTCAATGGATTCACCGTGCGGGTGCCGGGTCCATTGCGTTGCAGGGAGAGGAGCTTCAACAGTGCCTGGGACTTGCGACCCAGGTGTAGGTTTAAGGGGCCCCTTAACTAACGCGCGTTATACGCTCACCTCCACTGTCCAAGTTCCTCTCCCTACCTAACCAAATTTGAAAAGAACCTACTAGGGCTGCCTTCGACGTACGTTCTAAGAATGAATTAATGTTAGTTCTGGACAGGCCCAAGTCTTTTAGTAGGTTATAGAGAGATTTAGCTGTTATACCTCTCGCTCCCACCTCTACCGCGTACAAATCAACGACGAACCTATTTCGAGTTAGTTCGTTAGTGAGCTCGTAATACTTATTGACCTTGATGGCATGGTCTTTGGGGATGTTGGTTTCCCAAGGCACCGTAAGCTCTATCATCACAACGCGCTTTAAAATACGCGAATATAGAAATATGTCTGGTCTGGAGGCCGACGCACAAATATCCTCGGGGATTTTGTATTGTTTCTCATACGTATCCATCATGATAGTCCAATCCGAAGCCGCTTTAAGGATAGAGTAAGGCTTGACGTTTGATTTTATAGCCCTGGTGCCCTCTCTCACAAAACCTATTGATCGCTCGTTTGTGGTTATTTCCCTTTGCGCTCTGGCTACCGAAAGACTAACCGCTTCACGTATGATCTCTAAAACCCTATCGTGACGACGCGAGTATTGACCGCTGTCCAGGAGAACCTTACATCCCACCAGCAAATGCTTGGCAGTTCCAACCGCCTTTCCGCAGATATAGCAAGTTTTTTCGGTACCTTTACCCCATCTTACTAAATTACTCTGATCTGGGAGAGTCATCTGGAACGCATTGAGATAAAATTTTAGCAAGGCTGGCGACCAGTCATGAATTAGGGTGCGCCATTTTAGTGCTAGTGGAATGCAAAAATCTCCTATGTCTAACCACTCGTTCTGCATTTCTAAACTCATTGCATGGATCTTGTATTTATCGTTCTCGTCTTGCCGAATAAAAGACTTCAATATATCCGTATCTTGGACTTTCCTACTTGATCCTAACCCTACTCTGTTATTTTGCGCTCCGATCATAAATTGTTTATGGAATTGAAGTCGTGACTCTAGCTCTGGGGCATCATTGTCTTTTGGGAGTGATGTAACGACGTCATCATGGGATTTTCCCAGGATATGTCTCTTGGAAACTCTTAGGTGTTTGTAGAGCTCCGATGGTCTTTTTAGATTCATCCCAAAACTATTACGATCCCTGAATAAAGCCGATGAATCAGCCGTTAGCGCGAGCCCGAGCCACAACTTCAACATCTTTATGACGCCTGCATCTAATTTAGATAAAAGGGTTTTACTAAAATCATAGACGAGGAAAGGCCAATTCAAACGTGAAGTTAAGTAATTATCGTAGATCCATGCTTTTTTTACGTTACTGATCTGCTGGCTATCCACCTTGTTAAGATCATTTAAAAAGCTATCTACTATTCCTTCTAAAGATGGAGTACGACCTATATTATCAATCTTACGACCGAGAAACTTGAATGGTGCATCTTCCGTAACCGTAGAAACGCATTGACCGCCTATCGATAGTCCCGGATCGTATGAGGTGTATCTTGTATTCCGCCTACCAAGACACAAACAGTGACATTTACTTGGTTTTGTCCTCAATCCATCCGTCCACTCACAGAATTTATCCACTTCATCCAATAGTACTTGACAGTGTTTTGGGGTGACGTGTCAGTATTGCGAGATCGTCAGCGAAGGCTAAAATGGATTCCGTGTATTTATTATTAAACTTAAACCGATAACCCCATTTTTTCTCGTTACAGATTAATTTGTCTACTAAGATGTTAATAACGATATTAAACGTAATTGGAGATAGACAACAACCTTGAAACAGTCCTACATTATAACTCAAACTTTTTGAAGGGCCTTCTTTAGTTATTATAGAAAACCTTAATTTTGAGTAATACGACGCGATCATATCTCTAACTAGGGGTGGAAAGTTGTACCATCTAAGCGCGAATAGCATCAACTCGTGTTGTATCGACCCGAACGCGTTCTCTAAGTCTATCCAACAAACTGTAATTTGCCGCTCGCTTTTTCTAGCATCTTTCAAACTCTCCGACAGCAAGGTGTTGTGTTCTAGGCATCCAGAAATCCCGGGTAGAAACCCTTTCTGGTGATTTGGCCTAAAATACTTGTTGCTGAGCATGAATCGCGTCATTCTCGTTTGTAGGACCGAGAAAAAGATTTTAGAAATTGTATTTGTTAAGGCTATCGGTCTAGTATCCTTCGGATCGGTAACTCGATCTTTTTTGGGAATGAGGACAAAAATTGCTTTCCCGAACCACTCCGGGATTTGCTTCCTTGACCAGATTTTGCCGTATATATTTATGAGGTGTTTACGAACCGATGGACATTTTTTAAAGACTATATATGGGATACCATCGGGGCCCGGTGCAGATTTAGATGATTTCCTCTTTATGTGACTACTTATTTCGTCTAACGTTGGTGGTATGCCGTGAAAATCGATATGAGGAATTTCCGGTTTTTGTTCGTTTGGATCCGTATAGAGCCTTACACTTTTAGGCACTTCGTATGTGCTCTTGAAATGGTCGTAAATTTGATCGTTGGTCAAGAGAAGCTGTCCGCGTTCTTTCTTAAAAATGGTTTTCGAATACTCAAAAGGGTTTTTATCAAAATCTACTTCCTGTTTGGCCCGGTCAAAATTACCGCGATATCCTGCAGTTTGTGCCGATATTCCTTGAATTAATTTAAGGATTGACCTTAACGCCCTAGCTAGCTGATGACTAAGGTGGTTGTCGCCTAGAGCTTTGGCTATACGTAGATTTTTTATTAATTCCCGTTTTTTTTCTTCCTCATTTTTATCTTGAACGAATTTTCTTTATTTTTGCGAGCGTAATGATTACGTGGTGGATATTGCTCGTTGAAGTAGTCATAAACGGTATTTTGGAAAGTTTCTACCTGCGAGTTCAATTCCTGTTTCGAGCCCGGATGCTCTAACAGGACCGCTAAATTGTCGTCGTGAACTTTCCAAGTCGATTGTTTCATGTTAGGAATGCTAAGACGTGTCCGGATGTTAATGGACTCCTGGTGGTTTCCAGTTAATGGTTCACCATGGGATACGTGAGGGTCAACTCTATCCGAAGTGATAATTGAAGAACTTACCAACGATTGTCGCGCTTCAACACCATTATGTGTTTTTAGGTGTTTAATGTACCAGGCTCGTCTCTTGTAATTTTTCCCGCACGTAGGGCATTTCAAGTCCGTATTCGCGCCGTTTTCGCCGTTTAAATCGACCGGTGGACAGATCTTCCGCCCCCCCTCTCGGACTGTCCCAGGGGTATTTTTCTTTATAGGACTTTTAGCTTAATAAATCCCGGGCTGGGCTTGCTAGGCCGTTGCCCTCGGCTGTCTTTCCAGCAGTCATCCGTCTTTCCGGCAGTCATCCGTCTTTCCGGCAGTCATCTGTCTTTCCAGAGTCAGCCCGACTCTCCGGGCAGTCGTTTTATATGAGACGAAACCTCTTAGCATTCAATGGATTCACCGTGCGGGTGCCGGGTCCATTGCGTTGCAGGGAGAGGAGCTTCAACAGTGCCTGGGACTTGCGACCCAGGTGTAGGTTTAAGGGGCCCCTTAACTAACGCGCGTTATACGCTCACCTCCACTGTCCAAGTTCCTCTCCCTACCTAACCAAATTTGAAAAGAACCTACTAGGGCTGCCTTCGACGTACGTTCTAAGAATGAATTAATGTTAGTTCTGGACAGGCCCAAGTCTTTTAGTAGGTTATAGAGAGATTTAGCTGTTATACCTCTCGCTCCCACCTCTACCGCGTACAAATCAACGACGAACCTATTTCGAGTTAGTTCGTTAGTGAGCTCGTAATACTTATTGACCTTGATGGCATGGTCTTTGGGGATGTTGGTTTCCCAAGGCACCGTAAGCTCTATCATCACAACGCGCTTTAAAATACGCGAATATAGAAATATGTCTGGTCTGGAGGCCGACGCACAAATATCCTCGGGGATTTTGTATTGTTTCTCATACGTATCCATCATGATAGTCCAATCCGAAGCCGCTTTAAGGATAGAGTAAGGCTTGACGTTTGATTTTATAGCCCTGGTGCCCTCTCTCACAAAACCTATTGATCGCTCGTTTGTGGTTATTTCCCTTTGCGCTCTGGCTACCGAAAGACTAACCGCTTCACGTATGATCTCTAAAACCCTATCGTGACGACGCGAGTATTGACCGCTGTCCAGGAGAACCTTACATCCCACCAGCAAATGCTTGGCAGTTCCAACCGCCTTTCCGCAGATATAGCAAGTTTTTTCGGTACCTTTACCCCATCTTACTAAATTACTCTGATCTGGGAGAGTCATCTGGAACGCATTGAGATAAAATTTTAGCAAGGCTGGCGACCAGTCATGAATTAGGGTGCGCCATTTTAGTGCTAGTGGAATGCAAAAATCTCCTATGTCTAACCACTCGTTCTGCATTTCTAAACTCATTGCATGGATCTTGTATTTATCGTTCTCGTCTTGCCGAATAAAAGACTTCAATATATCCGTATCTTGGACTTTCCTACTTGATCCTAACCCTACTCTGTTATTTTGCGCTCCGATCATAAATTGTTTATGGAATTGAAGTCGTGACTCTAGCTCTGGGGCATCATTGTCTTTTGGGAGTGATGTAACGACGTCATCATGGGATTTTCCCAGGATATGTCTCTTGGAAACTCTTAGGTGTTTGTAGAGCTCCGATGGTCTTTTTAGATTCATCCCAAAACTATTACGATCCCTGAATAAAGCCGATGAATCAGCCGTTAGCGCGAGCCCGAGCCACAACTTCAACATCTTTATGACGCCTGCATCTAATTTAGATAAAAGGGTTTTACTAAAATCATAGACGAGGAAAGGCCAATTCAAACGTGAAGTTAAGTAATTATCGTAGATCCATGCTTTTTTTACGTTACTGATCTGCTGGCTATCCACCTTGTTAAGATCATTTAAAAAGCTATCTACTATTCCTTCTAAAGATGGAGTACGACCTATATTATCAATCTTACGACCGAGAAACTTGAATGGTGCATCTTCCGTAACCGTAGAAACGCATTGACCGCCTATCGATAGTCCCGGATCGTATGAGGTGTATCTTGTATTCCGCCTACCAAGACACAAACAGTGACATTTACTTGGTTTTGTCCTCAATCCATCCGTCCACTCACAGAATTTATCCACTTCATCCAATAGTACTTGACAGTGTTTGGGGTGACGTGTCAGTATTGCGAGATCGTCAGCGAAGGCTAAAATGGATTCCGTGTATTTATTATTAAACTTAAACCGATAACCCCATTTTTTCTCGTTACAGATTAATTTGTCTACTAAGATGTTAATAACGATATTAAACGTAATTGGAGATAGACAACAACCTTGAAACAGTCCTACATTATAACTCAAACTTTTTGAAGGGCCTTCTTTAGTTATTATAGAAAACCTTAATTTTGAGTAATACGACGCGATCATATCTCTAACTAGGGGTGGAAAGTTGTACCATCTAAGCGCGAATAGCATCAACTCGTGTTGTATCGACCCGAACGCATTCTCTAAGTCTATCCAACAAACTGTAATTTGCCGCTCGCTTTTTCTAGCATCTTTCAAACTCTCCGACAGCAAGGTGTTGTGTTCTAGGCATCCAGAAATCCCGGGTAGAAACCCTTTCTGGTGATTTGGCCTAAAATACTTGTTGCTGAGCATGAATCGCGTCATTCTCGTTTGTAGGACCGAGAAAAAGATTTTAGAAATTGTATTTGTTAAGGCTATCGGTCTAGTATCCTTCGGATCGGTAACTCGATCTTTTTTGGGAATGAGGACAAAAATTGCTTTCCCGAACCACTCCGGGATTTGCTTCCTTGACCAGATTTTGCCGTATATATTTATGAGGTGTTTACGAACCGATGGACATTTTTTAAAGACTATATATGGGATACCATCGGGGCCCGGTGCAGATTTAGATGATTTCCTCTTTATGTGACTACTTATTTCGTCTAACGTTGGTGGTATGCCGTGAAAATCGATATGAGGAATTTCCGGTTTTTGTTCGTTTGGATCCGTATAGAGCCTTACACTTTTAGGCACTTCGTATGTGCTCTTGAAATGGTCGTAAATTTGATCGTTGGTCAAGAGAAGCTGTCCGCGTTCTTTCTTAAAAATGGTTTTCGAATACTCAAAAGGGTTTTTATCAAAATCTACTTCCTGTTTGGCCCGGTCAAAATTACCGCGATATCCTGCAGTTTGTGCCGATATTCCTTGAATTAATTTAAGGATTGACCTTAACGCCCTAGCTAGCTGATGACTAAGGTGGTTGTCGCCTAGAGCTTTGGCTATACGTAGATTTTTTATTAATTCCCGTTTTTTCTTCCTCATTTTTATCTTGAACGAATTTTCTTTATTTTTGCGAGCGTAATGATTACGTGGTGGATATTGCTCGTTGAAGTAGTCATAAACGGTATTTTGGAAAGTTTCTACCTGCGAGTTCAATTCCTGTTTCGAGCCCGGATGCTCTAACAGGACCGCTAAATTGTCGTCGTGAACTTTCCAAGTCGATTGTTTCATGTTAGGAATGCTAAGACGTGTCCGGATGTTAATGGACTCCTGGTGGTTTCCAGTTAATGGTTCACCATGGGATACGTGAGGGTCAACTCTATCCGAAGTGATAATTGAAGAACTTACCAACGATTGTCGCGCTTCAACACCATTATGTGTTTTAATATTTTCGGATTTATTACGAGCTTTTTATTATTTTAATAAACGACATACTCCCGATGTTTCGGTTAGTTTACAGCAAACGTGATCACGGGTAGACGAGATGTTAATTATTTAATGTAAATTGTTTATTATTATTAAAATAAAATGAAAAACTCCAATATAAACTTTTATGATTTTCCTCTAATTTGGATACATTTATTTGTTGTACATATTTTGTTCTATAACTTTACGTTGCGTGGCTATAAATATCTTGAATAATCAATTTAAGTAAGATCCTAACTAAGACTAACAAGTTATCTGTCAGTAACAGTTTATTAAAACAACTTCCACTATAGTATGTATTATAGTGCCTTTTGAATTAAGCATAAGAAAAATCTAACTTGATTTAAATGATCCAATAGTTAGGCATTAAAATTAATAAAATTGAATAAATTTTATATGATTTCAATGTTGTTATACCCAAACTTGATATTATGATATAAGCGTGATTTTGACGGATTTAGGTTAGCGGTGACGTAAAATTCGTTTCATATATAAGGTGGCGTGTTGATCTAGATAAGGGTCATATAATGTAAAACTGTGATTTCAATTCCATTAAAAAATATAATTTTAATTTTGATTTCTGTCATAACGAAGAGAAAATTACTATTTGGAAGTTGAAGTCAACTTTATCTAAGATCTGTTGGCTTAAATCTGAGAGGAATACAAAAATTGCTATTAATAATATTAAATACTTTTATATCATGTTGTCCTATATTCTGAATTAGTTATAAGTTAAAATTTCTTTTCGATCTGATTCCATTTAAATCAAACTCAAAAAATATACATAATTTACACTTTCAATAACATTACGAACGTAGAAGGTTGAAATATTTGATTTATATAAAATCATTTATAACTGAATACATAAAATTCGTATTATATTATACAATTAATTTCATAATAGCATTAAATTCAAGCGTGCATCAAAATAACAACAACGAAATTATATCATGAGAATAACAATAAGTCATTCAAAACTCGAACGGAAAATAAAATTGCGTAACCAACTTAATTAGACGACGTTGGTAACATCGATTCGTTTCAGAATAATCTCGGGTACAAGGAATACGAAGTAAAATCTACGTCTTATGCCGTTGGACGTGCTGAGAATAAAAGAATTGACTGCTATAGGCTCTAGACAAATCGGCCGTATTAACTTAATGCTGCGAAGTTTTGAGTAAATTGTTGAGGTGTGTATTAAGCGAGTTTAATTCGAGATCTGAATTTTGATAACAATAGTTATGTGTGTATAATAATTATGAGAATATTATTACGTTCAAAAATATATCTTTATATAAAAATATTGGTTAAACTGGGATTAATTTCAATAAATAACGCTTCTTGTGTATATAACTCATAATTTCTCAAATGATATCAACATATTTAAGATAAAACAACATATAACATATAACATAGAACATGCTAAAACAAATCTCATAAATATTAAAAACGTCGATATACTAAAGCCTTCATCAACCTAAACATTTCTCTACACGTTTTTCTAACAAACCTATTGTGAGAAAAGCATTTTAGTTTTTAAGGTTAGCAATAAAAAAGCCAAGACGACACTTTCACAAATTTCAAGGGGTTAGTTCTTTAAAGAGATACTTACTGGAAGAAATTGAATTACTTTCAACTAGATAGTGATAATTTTCGTTCACATTTTATAAATAATAATATATTTCCTAGTTATTATTGAATGTTATAATTTCATACGCACATTATTTCTTTTAGAAAATATTATTGCAAATAACTAGCCCTTGTAGCGTACAAATATCTTTGCACATATTGGTATGGCATATAAATAATTTAGTATAGAGAACATAATTTATTTTCAGGACACATCTAGTGGCTGTATACAGAATCTTTCATTCCTATGCTCCTCGTGCCATGGCTTCTATTCCATCCTTATTACGACCGTCATCCGCCTAGCTTTCATTTTTTTTAGTAACTAGTCACGTTTATGACAGAAAATGGGTTTATTGAGTGGTTTTCCAAACGTTTTATGGTTTGAAAATTATGGTTTTGTATATAAAATTTGTAGTCAAGTACATTATAATGTTATAGATATTTTTATATTATATAATATTGCTGTGATTATGTAAAGAAAAATTTGTTATGAATGACAAAAATTTTGAATGATTTCAATAGAAGTAAATAATTTGGAAAGGACTTATATATTGATGACTGGCTATTGAAACATACTTGAATCTATTGTACACGTATAGTTCAGAATTGCTATCGATAAAATCATATAATTCGTATTTAATCGATATATAACGTTCCACGAACTAGTTTAGTCTATCGCAAACTAATCGCCCTAGATACAAACTTGCTGCTCGTTTAGGCTCGTATCTCGATCTAGGTTAAACGCTATTTGTACTAAGTTTAATAACTTGGATCTTCTAAATTAGAAGCTGGCTTGGATAAATATTATAATAAGTCCCAGTTGATTTATGAAATAGATGTTTTATAGAATAAGTTTAAGTATAATTCAATAAATATTGTTTCAAATAGATAACAATGAAGTTATCAGATGTTTTTAAGACTCGAGCAGTTTTATATCTATCATATAACTCACAAGTTGGATAAACAACGTGAAATCTAAAGTTTCCTAAGTCAACACTAGTTTGGAACTACCAAGTTCCAACAAATAACATCTCCCGAGATTACTAGTATGAGAACATATTTGTAAATATTAACACAATGTAGTGTTAGATTTAATAATATATATATTTAATAATAATATTTTTAATTGATCGCCGCTCGGGTTTCTTAAGATAAAGTACTTATTACGAGCGTAATAAAGACGATGATTAAGTCAGTGGTGGCCTAGTGGTTAAAAGGCCCGTCTCTTATTCATGAGGACGCGGGTTCGATCCTGGTCCGGGCAAGTACCAATGTGATTTTTCCGAATCATATGTACTTTCTAAGAGTATTTAGAAATCACTGATTAATGTTGATTCCCAAAAGAGGCTTGATGTCAGGCAGGCGGCCGGTCGTAAAAACAATTAGCCAAAACTATTCACAACATATAAGGCAGACCCCGGCTAAAGCTGGGAAATTCTTGGTGGAAGAAGAATAAAGGCGATAATTATTTCATACAAATGTATGCATACAAATGTATGTCATTAATTAAATTGGTTCATATTTATATGACAATGAACACAGACGTATATTTTTTAATATTCTGTTAAGGTAAATATTAACATATAGAATCCAGACAGAATTCTATAAATTATTCAGTACAAGTGAATCGTAAGAATAAGATGTTAAAACACTTTTTGTTTATGGATAAAATAATATTGTCTGTCATAACTATGGTCTCAATTAAATTATTTCATTTCTTTTAAAACTTTTACTTTTTGGTTCACCTGTGTAAACAAAAAGAAAAAAATTAACTTCAAATGTGGTAAAACGGTTGAATTATGTTTACTACTATGTATATTATTCTTCATACTTATGAAGAATAAAATGAGAACCTATTCTGTTACTTGCTATACATATTTAACTTTGCCAAAATCAAACATTTGAAATATTGCTCGAAGAATTGAAATTATTAAAGAAATTAAATTCATTACCATGCATGAAACAAAGAAACGTCCAACAGAGAATATGCTGCAACAGGTGATAAGGGCCATCTTGTTAAAACTACATATATGTATTATATTAATCATCATAAGCTTGTCAGAGCCCACTGCTGAGCAAAGAACTCTTCTCGCATGGAGAAGATTTGAGCATTAATCACCACGCTTGATAATTTGAAATTATAAGTCCTTTTTCCTCACGATGTTTTTCTTCACTATTTGTTAGTGGTGTCTAAATACTCTTAGAAAGTACATATGACACGGAAAAAATCACATTGGTACTTCCCAGGTTTCGAACCCGAACCCACATGCGTGACAGGCGGGCCTTTAACCACTGGGCCACCACGACTTATTTTATATTAGAAGTCATTCCTTTAATACTATGATGACTTGCTTCTCCCTAAAAGACTTTTTCTTGTATTGTTTTCTTAATTCGCAGGTGTATACTAGTAAACCACAAACCAAAGCACGACGGTTTTCAAAGTCAACGAAACTTACGCCATCCGTCAAATTGAGCCTAACTCATACGCGCCATGGAAAATTTTGCGTTTTACATGTAGTCCAAACAGTGAAGCGGTCGCGGACAAAAATTACGGCAAATATAGCTGTTTTAAAAGAATCAAATATTTTTGTTTTATCTAACATTTTGTTATGGGCTCAATTAAGTACCTCGTACAATCACATACCAGTCTTTTGTTTATTTATTTGGTTAAGCCAAGATCGGATACAATTTGTATTGACAAGATATAAATAAAACTAAAACATAACTAAACCTATTTTTTATTCAGTTTGCCCATAAATTGCATTGAAATAAATTATCGATACAACAAATATTATAAGTCATACTATGTTACCTCAATTTCTCTCGCTTTTATCAAATCTTAATTTGATAAAGTAGCGTTTTAATATCAAGATGACGGTCGCAATTCAGTTTATTGAGTTATTAATGTTATAACATTTATTTATGATGTTATAAATTGAGAAATTTAACTTAGATTAATAAAGATGTTTATATTTTTGTTCTTTATTTAGAAACTGTATCAGTATAATGATTATACTCATTATTAGATGTATATATATTAATTTATTTTTGTGTAAATTGTCTAATTTGTGATTTTTTATTTTATGAACTTTAAAATTTTATTCGTGTGTTTTATGAAACATACTTCTTATAAGTAAATATGTATATGTAGTTATTGAAAATATTTTCTAACCACA